ACCATGGAAAACCTGGAAGCACTGGGCGGTCGTTTCGTCCCAGTATGAGACTACTCACTAGTGCGCATACACGGTTCCACCTGCGGGATTCGAACCCAGGACCTATCGGTTTCGCACGCGAACGCTTAACCTCTAGACTACGGAGCCGATATCCAACAGTGTTACTGTCTAACTTCAACCAATCCACGAAATTGAGCCACACGTCCGCTATTGTCTTTAGTGTGTTACTATCTCACAACAGACCCGGTTGACCTCCACTGGTCATTGCTTCTCACTAGAACTCCAGATAATACCTCTTGAAGCCAGTCACTAGTGAGCATATGTTGATTCATATCAGATATTATAGTAATTTTAATAGTTGAGATCATGAGTCAATCGAAGCTAAACCACCATGGAAAACCTGGAAGCACTAGACGGCCATTTCGTCCTATTGTGGGACGCCTCAGCAGTGAGCATTACTTTTTCCCATATACCGTTTGATAATAGTAAGTACTTTACTTATCAATCATCTAAATATCTAATGTTAGTAATAGGATCCAATGGGAAGGTTACATAAATTATTATTTTAAAATTATGGGATAACTTGTGTAATGTTACATATAGATCACATAACAATGAAACGTTATTTGAGCTGAAGTAATTTATCACATAGTTGAATCTTAATTGAATTTCCGACGTTTCACAATGTAGTGCAATTTAGTTTTTCAGAAAAAAAAATAACTGGATTAAAATTCACACAAGTGTAAATAGCATTTAGGAACAAATCAAATAATCTTAGCACAATCACAACATATCTAGCCATAATGATGCATATCACTCAAGTCAAAGATGAAGCACTTTTTTGTATTCGTGCATATCTGAGTGGATGGGAATTTTTTAATTTAAAAAAGTTGATTTAGTTTGTTTATATGTTAATAATATGAGGTTTGCGTAGTCTAAATAAATGGATAGTTAGGCATTTCAGCGCAGTACAGTTTAGCCTTATGCAAAAAGTTCCAGTCAATCAATTTTCTTTATAGTTAAAAAACTTTCTGAATAATTTTGATATTTTTAATACCACTTTAATGCTAGTTGATAATAACACACTTATATAACTGAGTTTATTTGTAAATTTTCGATATCATCAAAATTATTAGGTCTTATATATAGCTTAGATGTTCCTTGCACGAGTCACGATTTTTTATGAAGACTCTTGATTATATTACAATAGACAAAACCTAATCTGCACACATAATTCTGTTCAGAGATAAAATGGGTCCTTTCCTTGATTTAAACTAAAGCATTTCAAAGCGTCAATTTTTTTATATTACGCTTTATTCGGTGTATTTTTAAGATTCGTTGCAGTTTTTCTGTTGACCAGTAGGGGTAAAACTACGGTATCAAAGGGCAATAGTTCATCCTGATTATTATTTAATAATAAACCGTTTCGTTTTAATATATATTTAATGATATTCCTAAGAAAATTATTAAGTTGAGAGACATTTATTATATTCTTCTGTTCTGTTTGCCTGTCTTATTCTGAAGCAATAACCTTGGTAACCTATATATGAGTAACAGTTATCTAACACAAGGCAGTAATGAACACTAGCTATTATAAAATGTATACCTTTCAATTGGTTAATGAAAAATATTATGTATATAGATAATTGATTAATACATTAGATGATAGATCATTTACAGTGTATTTGATTGAAAAACACTCAATACATAACCAGATCTAGTTTCTTTTTATCAAGCACGTTGCATAATGGTATGATGATAACAATGAACCCAGTTTAGTGGATAAAAAACAGATTTTCAAGAGTAAACGATTTCCAACGTCAAGCATAAATATTCCAATTTGTAACATTTAAAAAGGGATCTCCAGAATAAATCGAATACTCAAATGTAAAAATAGATTGACACATCTAATCCATTTCTTTTAAATCAACAATATGATCATACTCATTACCACTTTAGTATTAGTAAATTCCTATGCAACTAGAAATACTAACAAACTTCTGTAATATATACAGTTAACTTCACTGTTAAATTGAGTTGTTTTTTCTCTCCAAAAAGTCGCATGGTATATTACAGTAAATATGTGAACTGAACAAAACTAAATGTAAAATACTACTACCCAATGACAGACTAAGACACTATGGGGTAATAAAAGACAACTCCACATAACTAACGTACACTAATAAATATTTATATATTTTATTTGATGAAATGGACAATGTACTTTTTGATTACATAAGTAATAGTGAATTTGATAGAGCAACTAAATCCAGTCAATAATACAACATTAATGACATAAGCATACCAGTGAAATATTTTTACTGGGGATTGCATACTTACAATGTTATCTTCAGATAAATACCGTAGAAAATGGGTATAACCAAAATTTCTTAATGAACAGATATGTACCCAATAATATTTAAATGGAGTATGTAAAGAAAATGTTTCAAATATCATTTATCCATCATACACTTCAAATATTTAAAAGAAATTAAGGAAATGAGTAACGTTGTGTGTCATGTAATATTTAAAACAATATATATATGAAATATGAGGAAAGAATTCATCATAAGAGATTTTATGTCACTGGAACATATTTTCATATTGCGAAATAATAACTATTTATTAAAATAATTATTACTGTTTATCAAATATGGTGGTTAGTTTCAATTTGGCTGATCAATATTTAGTTAGAAGGTTTGTGGAGATTAGGTAGAATATGAAAATATTTTTTCTAGATTGACTGACAAAAACTGAAGGATTATAAAAAATATCAATAAAAACTGAATAATTATTTCTCCATAGTTTAGGATTATACAGTAGTCTTCTTTACCTACTACTTTACAAGGAATTAGATGAAAGACATTCACGTCTCGCAGCAATTACGATACCTTCAACCCACTTAGTGAAAAGCCATAAATAAATTTATGGTTAAGCATATTGATTATCTAATATTATTGATGATGACTATATCACTTCTGATAACGTGGTAATTAACGTTTTAAGAAGGACATTAGAATATATTATCTAAACCTATTATATATATATATATATATATATATATATATATATATATATATATATATATATATATATATATATTAGAAAGTTTGTGTAAAAACGGGAATAATCTCTGACTGAAAGTGGATAACAATCAGGTCACTTCCAAGATTAATAGAGCTATCTGATCTATTGATTTAATAACGTTTCTATATGACTTCCTAACGAGAAATCTTTTAATACTAACTGGTCCAAACTACAGTATTAAGTAGCGGTGACTGGATAATAGGTTCAGATATCTGGTAAGTTTCGAAGTTATTTAAATAATATGAAATGTGCTTTGGCTACAATCTAAACACGAGTCAATATATTTGAAAATCACTGCACTATATCGTTGTTTAACCACACAAATATAAACAGCCACACACCATATCCCAACTAGGTAATTTGAAGACTTAAGTATATTTACAAACTAGAATCCATGATGCAAATGAAAATGTTAGGAAGCAGTATATTATTTATTCCAAAGAAAAAGAATCATTTGGCCAACAGGTTGTGAGCCACGAAACCAATCATGCAAAAAGCATACCACCAGTAAGATTGTACACAAAGGCACTCATCGAATAAAGTGAGAATCGACAATAACTAGCAGTTTGTCTTGAAATGACTTATCTGGGTATCGAGAACAGTTGTAGGTGATGGGAAGTGTAAAGATATTAGACTAAATTGCGATTAATTAGTTGTAGTGAAAGTATAATTGCATTAAAAAAATTGTTATCCGTCCCGTTTTATAACAAACTATTTGAGCAGACTTTGAAATACTAAAAAAAAGTATTTATAAAAGCAGTAAACTGAATTCCAGATTATATTTTCATATGTCTCACTAAAGTGCTTTTAGATTACGCGAAAATTGACTACGTCCCCAACTTCCTGATAGTGTCTACAAATTCATAAAAGAGAAATTAGTTAACGACAAGAATGTTTGGAGATGTACGGAATTGTCGTATAGCGAAGCGTAAGTTGGGCTATCATACGAAATACGGAGTGATTACAAAACAGCCTACGGAACACAAACATGTTCCAGACACAGCTAAGCTAGATACAAAAAAGTAATCAAAATAATAAAAGATAGAGTTGATTTACTAACGGAAGCAATTTTGTCTAATCGTAGCTGCGGCATCTGGCGGCTCAACTTCCAGTTGTGATTCGGATAAGATGGACAATTAGGCAAGTAAGACATTGTCATCGTGTCACCTAACCAAATCCGAAACCATTGGGACTATGAACTTTGGCAACTAAAATAAGCCTAATGTGAGAGGCGAGAATTCCCCTCTACATAAGAATGAACCAGGTTAGAAACTAAATTTGACTTATCCTGGAAACCAGAATTGTTGGAGCAGTGTCCTTAATGGTATGACAACGAAAAATTCAAGAACTCACAACCACACAATTCATGATATGAGAATCAAAACAATGATTTTAATGAACGAAGAGAATACAAATTCGAATGTGCGCATGATTATCGGATTGAACAAACTACATTCAACCTTAAATCCACCAACTATCCAAAAAAATCTCTAGGAGACATGTTCCTTATTTATTTAGAAAAGTAACACAAAGTACGAAAGAAACAATAAAAAAATAAAGAGAAACAGGTTGAAGTAAAGTTATTTTATGAAAATATCAACAAATAAGAAGGAATATAAATATTCCGCGGTTGTATAAACAGTGATTAAATCAGGTTAATTTCGTTATACATGGCTTGTACAGCAAATGCAAGAACGCAAATAATTACATTCATAAATCTTACAAGTGAGTTATGAAAATAAGAATAAAAGAATTACACAATACGAATTAATAAAAATAAATATCGATATCCTCAAAAATTTCAGGTACACAGCTGATTGTTTAAAAATACTGACTCAGTAATGAAATAAAAATTTCGAAACTCTTACTTCGGTTCTTGTTAAAAAATTAGGGTCTCCAAAAACAAAGAGAAACTAACATTTTTTATTACGGTTATTTACAAAAGACTTGCGACCACGACCACGGCTGAATTTTGGTGGAGTTAAGGCAGTCCCAATAACATTCTCCTGTTGAAGTTTTGATTCATTTACAACAAAACGTGCCATTTCGATTGCACCGTCACGTGTTTTATTGGAACCTAAATGACCACAGTTATGCACAAAAATGCAACCTGATATTCCAGTCATCGCACACAATTGATCATCTTGAAGTGAACGCCAGTCGGTAGGGAATGGTAACCTAATTCGATAAAGCAAGTTGTGGAAAAAGGTTAGAAATAATCCTTACGAAGTTTATGTGCACGAAATTCAATAAAAAAAAACTCATACACAGGGTTATGAAACCATCCAATGACTGCTCAAACCCATAGAGATAGATTGAAATACGAACAAGCGATCCATCGACTGAAAGTTAGTGATCAGTGGTAGTTAGTAACTAGATGCAGTAAATAATAAAATGAGTTTCTGAGTTTATGTAATAATCTTTAATATTAATTTGAGAGAAGGATATACTAGTGATTTAGGAACAATTGGTTCATCCTTCGGTAGCGTTTCTGCTTGCATCGCTGAGAAACAGAACTTATTGAAATTATGCACGAAAACTAGACTATACAATGTTCATACATGTCAGTTAGTTATGACAGTAACTCCACCTATAGCTCTTCTAGGGTTGCTGCCGGTCCCAAGCCCGGTTAAATGAGGAGGGCTAGGTGTGGGGTTAACTCTCCCATCCCATAGAAAACAACCTTGCTAAAAATACGCTAACCAGAATAACTCGTTCTATTTGATAATGTCCTACGTATGCACTGAGATCACCTATTTCTAACCATAATCTGGAAACTATGAATAATTTATTGTAAGCAACATTACTAAAATTTTTTACTTCTCCCAAGCATTAATGGATTATCACTTCATATATATAGAAATTTTTACTTTCATATGTATTTTGGACACATGTACCTAAACTGATTTCAAATATACTGTCAGTACATTTGTCCCATAAAACCTATTGGTTTGAAGTACAAGGGGTGAGACTTTTGAGCGAAGCCAAAGTGATTTTGAGAGTTTTTACATAATGCCTAGGACCAAATGGAGGTTATAAACCAGTGTGAAGAATTGGAATTATGATTTTCGTTTGATGGTTAGGGTAGGGAATTAGATCTAGGGTTGTCATCACGAACTGATATAAGCTATTATGCCAAAATTCTATTTGGCCAAAAGGATGAGTTGATTCCACATCAAAATCCGAGACCTGGTATATTATACCTGAATGGTCCGTCCATAAATTATTGTCTGGCCGTGCAAGCGAAAGATTTGCATCACAGAAATCATACAGTCGGCCTTTCTTATTGCTCATATGGAAAATGCCTTGAGTGAAACAGCATTACGAATATCGTTATTAGGCCTAAAGCTATTTTTGATGAATTTTTTATTAGGATTGTTTTATTCTGAATCCGCCTATGGCTCTTCTAGGGTTGCTGCCGGTCCCAAGCCCGTTTAAATGAGGAGGGCTAGGTGTGAGGTTAACTCTCCCATCCCATAGAAAACAACCTTGCTAAAAATACGCTAACCAGAATAAACAAATTAAAACATTTAAACTCTGCCCACCGAGTTGAAGGATCTTCATTCAGAAGAATTATGACGCCTCATGGTGAAATCCAAGATTCTTCGGAAATCACGAGGTTGATGTCCCTTTTAACAACCACAACAACAACTTTTATAGGCACATGGAACATCCTGACAATGTGGGAGACTGTGAGGACCAGTCAAATAGCAACAGAAATGAGGAGATACAACTTGACAGTGCCCAGAGCCAGAGAAACCGACTAGACCCAAACTGGACAGCAATAGTTAGATACAGAATAGATGCTGCTGTACTCCGGACACGAGGAGGAAAATGCTTCACACACTCAGGGAATTGCACCAATGCTGTCTAAAGAAGCACGAAATGCACTTATAGGATGAGAATCTCGTGGATCCAGGATATCAAAGCATCATTCAAAACAAACAAGCAGGGAATCATAATGAATGTCATCCAATGTTATACAACCACCAATGATAGCAATGACGATGATAAAAATCCGTTCCACGAGAGACTGCAATCAACCATAGCGAATTGCTCAGGAAAGGATCTCATCATCCTGATGGGAGATCTAAACAACAAAGTCGGAGTTCACAACACTGAATATGAGGATATGATGGGACGACATGGACTGACTAAGAGAAAAGAACGAGAATGGTGAAAGATTTGCAAATCTATGTACAATCAACAAAATAGTTGTAGGTGGCGCAATATTCCCACACAAACGCATACACAAAGCTACGTGGGTCTCACCGGACCACACCACGAAGAACCAGATCGATCATGTTCACATCAATAAAAAATTCAAAAGGTCAATGGAAGACGTGAGAACCAGGAGAAGAACTGACATAGCTTCAGATAACCACCAACCGGTGGTTGTTAAGATGAAGCTGAAGCTATAAAAAAAAGCATTGAACAATTAGACAAATAGCATTGTCAAGGTTCAATATAGCCTTCCTCCGAGATACTGACAAACTCTAGGAATTCGAAATGGCTCTCAACATCGGGTTCTAAGCCTTAAAAGAAGAAAACTACTATAGGGGACAATTATAAAGAGATCAAAAAGCACTAACTTCAACGCGTCAGGAGGTTCTGGGCCGCAAGGAGCATCACCATAAGGAAGAACAACAAGAAAGAAATCAACAACAGCTGAACGAGGACAGTGAAAGTCAAGGCACAAGCTGACTACACAGAAGCATACAAGTGAAGAGGGGCATTAGAGCTAATGAGCAGAAATATGTGGAAGAACTAGCAACGGCGGAGGAAAAAGCTGAATAAGAAGGAAATATAAGACAACTATATGACACGACGAAGAAACTGGTAAGGAAATATGGTAGACCAGTCAAGGATAGAGAGGACAAGCCAATCACTGAAATTCAAGAACAGATGGGTGGAACACTTCGAGGAACTCTTGAATAGACCAACTCCATTGAATCCACCAAACATCAAAGCAGCGCCTACAGACCTTCCTATAGATGTCACTCCACCAACGATCGAAAAAATTAGAATGGTCATCAGACAAATCAAGAATGGAAAAGCAGCTGGATCTGAAAATATACCAGCTGAAGCACTAAAGTCAGACATAGAGGTAACTGCAATGATGCTCTACATTCTAATCAGAAAGATATGGGGGGAAGAACAAGTGCTGACGGACTGGAAAGAAAGACATCTCACCAAGATGCCAACGAAAGGAGATTTGAGCAAATGTGAGAACTACATAGGCATCACACTACTGTCAGTACCAGGAAAAGTATTCAACAGAGTATTGCTGAACCGGATGAACGACACACCACGCGCTCAACTTCGAGATCAACAAGATGGATTCCGTAAGGAACGGTTGTGAGCAGACCGAATCGTGACACTACGGTTCATCGTTGAACAATCAATTGAATGGAACTCGTCACCATACATCACTATACAGCATTTGACAGTGTGAATAGGAGAACATTATGGAAACTTCTTCGACATTATGAAATCGTCACCATTATACGGAATTCATATGACGGACTATACTGCAATGTGGTGCATGAAGGACAGCTGACAGACGCATTCCAATCAGTTAGTCAGCTACAACGTAGGACCAAGCACATATATGCATCGGTTCTAGTTGCCACACCTCATAAGTACAAAAAGATGAACACTACATTTATAGAAGTAGTTAATTGAATAGTAGTAATATATAAAAGAAAGATTGTGTATGAGGACATAATACAGGAAGAAATAATTCGTCCATAGAAATAAAGGTATAAAGCAATTTCAATTTCACTGTTTAAGGACAGACAAAGAATGTATACACCTACATCATTGTGGTCGATTTTAAGAAATTTCACCCACACGCATTCCAAGTGAGGACCGGATTCAGACAAGGCTGCCTACTGTCCCTCTTTCTCTTTCTTCTGGTGGTTGACTGGATTATGATGACCTCCACATTTGAGAGGAAGCACGGAATACAATAGACAGGTTGGATGCAACTAGACGATTTCGACTTCATAGATCATCACCTGAACCTTCTATCACATACACACCAACTAACGCAGATGAAGACAACTAGTGTAGCAGCTGTCTCTGCATCAGTACGCTTCAACATACACAAGGAAAAAACAAAATCCTCAAATACAACAAGGAGAACACCCAATCAACCACACTTGATGGAGAAACTCTGGAAGAGGTGGGAACTTTCACGTACCCAGACAGCATCATCGATGAACGTAGAAAATCTGATGCAGACGTAAACGTGAGGATTGACAAAGCATTCCTATGGTTGAGGAACATATTGAACTCAAAACAACTGCCAACCAACATCAAAGTCAGAATCTTCAATACAAACGTCAAGACAGTTCTACTGTACGGGGTTGAAACTTGGAGAACTACCACAACTATCATCAGAAAAGTACAAGTATTTATAAACAATTGTCTACGCAAGATACTCAATATCCGTTGACCATACACCATCAACAACAGCCCACTGTGAGAGAGAAAAAACCAGCTTCCATCTGAAGGGGAAATTAAGAAAACATGCTGAAGTTGAATAGGACACATAATGAGGAAATCATCAAACTGCATTACGAGACAAGCGCTAACTTGGAATCCTGAAGAGAAACATAAAAGAGGAAGGTCAAAGAATATACTGCACCGGGAATTGTAAGCAGAAATGAAAAGGATGAACAGCAACCGGAAAGGACTGACCAGGACAGAGTTTGATGGGGAATGATGATAGGCGACCTATGCTCCTCGACGAGGGACAACAGGCGTAAGTAAGTTATGACTGCGGAATAACTAAGTGTATAGATATTTTCTAAAAATCATTTTAACTGTTATAAGACAGAAATAAGAGAACATGAAATTTATAACTGGAGTGAACAGTGCAAAACCATAAATACAGACGATTTATTACGATTCAACGCTGATCCAATATAGTGTCTAAAATATTAGCCTCAATAATACTTCGACGCCTAATCAAAGCTCGTGAAGAGCAGACTAGAGAAAACCAGGCCGGTTTTCGACCTGGACGTGGTTGTATAGATCAGATAATCACACTACGTCAGGTTCTAGAACACAGACACACATTCAGACGCCCCACAATCGTAGTATTTCTCGACCTTAAGGCGGCATTCGACTCTGTTGATCATGAGGTTCTATGGCAGTGTTCGTCACTGAAAGGAGTACCAAAGACGTACATTAACCTTATAAAGGCTCTCTACTCGAACACAACTGGTAGAGTGAGAGCTTATGGCGAACTGTCATCAGAATTGATTACCTCAAGTGGTGTTCGTCAGGGCTGTCCACTCTCCCCATTCTTGTTCAACTTTGAGGTCGACGTACTTTTAGAGATCACATTTTCCTCGTCTAGATTTCCAGGAGTTGAACTTCTACCGGGAGGTTCACTTGTTGACTTAGAATATGCAGATGACATAGTTTTTTTGGTGAAGACGCTGACAAAATGCAGAGTCTTCTGGCCACTCTAAGCAACAATGCAAGCATGTTCGGGATGCGATTCTCTCCCCCGAAATGCAAAATGTTGCTTCAGGATTGGGTTACATCGACACCCGAACTAGTGATAGAGAGTGAAGTAGTTGAGTGTGTCGACCGCTTCACTTATCTTGGAAGTCTCATCAGCCCTTGTGGTCTGGTGCGTAACGAGATCTCAGCACGGATACAGAATGCTCGACTAGCTTTTGCCAACTTGCGTCATTTATGGCGTAGGCGAGATATCCGTCTATCAACCAAAGGACGTGTTTACAGCACAGCAGTTCGTCCCGTCCTACTTTATAACAGTGAAACATGACCGGTAAGAGTAGAGGATATTCGTAGGTTACTAGTATTCGATCATAGGTGTCTTCGAAACATTGCTCGTATATCATGGGACCATCGAGTAAGTAACACAGTTGTTAGGAAACGGGTACTAGGTAAGGATGGCAAATCAATTGATGAAGTAGTGAAACTTCATCAGTTGAGATGGCTGGGACACGTGTTACGTATGCCCAACGACCGACTACCTCGACGTGATATGTTCAGTGGTATAGGAGTAGGTTGGAAGAAAGCTAGGGGCGGCCAAACCAAAACATGGCACAAGTCCATGAAGTCACTGACAAGTGGACTGAGTCATGTTGGTAGGTGTAGACTAGCTGGTTGGGGACCACGAGATGATAGCAACCGATGGTTAGAGACCCTGAATGACATGGCCCAAAATCGTTTGCAATGGCGCAGGTGCATCCACTCTCTGTGTTCTCCCAAATTCTAATCTTCTGAATTCTTCATGTCCCTTTTTTTCCTTTTTCCAAATTTATTTCACTGGATTATACTCGTTAAATAACATCTTCAAACCCTAATCTTCCCGATTACTGCTTATACTCTTGCTACCTCTACCACTACGGGATTTGAATCGACAACTGCATCTCTGTGCTAAGGTGGTGTGGCAACTCAAACTGATGTACGTACGTACGAAGTTCTACGTTGCTACTGACTGACTGACTGACAACGCTGATCCATTATTCGAAGCATTTTATAAAATGAAGTGCTAAGTACATGATTACAATCATTGTACAACATTGAAAAATTTGAGTTGATATTAAGAGTTAAGGAAATGGTCACAATAAAAGTCACAGGAGCTTCTTATGAATGTTGTTAACTTGAAAACAGCAGTTGGATATTAACGACTTCCTGGACTTATTTCAGCACACAATTACAGACTCCTTGCATGACTTACTGGTCTTGTCTTCGACTTTGAGTCGAACCATAACAAATCCATACAGCGGTTTCGTCATATATGATCAATAATAGGGAGATACATATGATTGTATATCTGTTATCTATGAGCGGTGCAGCAGAGTTCGTGTTTAAAGAAATCACCAATACTAATTTAGAGAGCCGGCTTAATTATTATCAAATAACACCATCTATATGTAGACTAGGTATCTATATTTTTTCTAATGAGAGGATATATTGCACAATAATCCAGTTTTACTTTATAACTGTGAAATATCGATTTTAAAGGTAGACGATGTGCGTAGGCGTTATAATCTCTCTTATTACGACCCGGCTACTATTATCGCTTTTTTTGGACACTTTAATTCACTCAACAATTTCTCAAATCAGAACACGGTTGAACATGAACGTAATGATATTCCAAATATACAGGGTCGAGTGGAAGTGGGAGTCACAATAAGAAAAATGTCAGTATATTTGTGATTTTACACAAAAAAATTCTGGGGTCTTCTCCAAGTATCTACTGGCGCTGATTGGTCTCAACACAATCCTGTACAGAACACTCTTTAATATAATCTATATCCTGCTAACAGTGAGTTTGCAGTACTTGATCATATAAATATTTGGAAAGCTGCTCATTTTATGATAAAACTGAATCAGTCATGTTCAGTTAATAAACGGAATCTTTCTTTCTTATTTAATGTTCAGTTAAGACGTAAAGTAATAAACCAACATAAAAAATTAGCTGATAAAGCTGTGAATCTCTATCGACTGAGATGGGCGGGACATTTATGCCCAAACAACGACTACATAGACGGAGAATGTTAGCTGTCTGAAATAGAAGAAAGCTAGGGAGGGAAAAACTAGAACATAATATCATTTTATGAAGCCATGGGCCGTGTTAGTAAATGCAGACTGCCTTATTGGAGTCCGTACGATCACGGTGAACAAAGGTTTCAGACCCTAAATTACATGGATAAGTATCAGTCACAGTGGAGAATCATTGATTCTTTAACTTCCCCTATATTTCGGCTTTTTATGTTGCCCTATAGTTTTTTTAATCCGCAAATTAATCCCTTTTCTTTGTGCTATATTTCCTTTGCTTAATTTTTTACCTATCAGTGACACTAATATTAGTTTGAAACCCTTTAATATCCATATTGTACTGATGGAGTGTGGAAATTTGTGCCGAAATACATTTGCGTTAGGCCCTAGATTGATAATTACCATAAGAGAGAAACACAGAGATCCTGTGTAATATATTTGCCCTTAAATGAATAGATGAACACCCCAGTCAGTTAGCTACAACCTAGGACCAAACACATATATGCATCGGTTCAAGTTGCCATACCGCATTAGTACAACAAGATGAACACCGGATTTATAGTAGTTAGTTCAGTGGTGGTAATATATAAAATAAAGACTGCATATAAGGACATAGCACGGGAAAGAATTAGTTCGTAGAAAGGAAGATATGAAGCGATTTTAATCTCAGTTTAGGGGAAGACAGAGAGTGTATACGCCCACGTCATTGTGATCGATTCTGAGCCATGTCACCTAGAGTCTCCAACCATTGGTTACGATAGTCACACGGACCCCAACCAAGAAGTCTGAATCTACCAACATGGCTCAGACTAGAAGCTAGTGACTTCAAGCATTGATGCCACCCCAGAGGCATTATAAATCATGGTTTTTGAAAGCTAAACGAGCCAGGTCTAGTGTCACGGTTTAGCAAGCCGGCAGGATTTCAGTTTTCTAAATAAATTAGTGGTTCACACCAGAAGACTAATCCTGATATATTATGCCCGAAGTGACAGATGCGAAAGATACATTAAACATTCGCTGACCGAAAGTCAGATATCCTCTTTAAGTCAAAGAATATCCTTTCTCCAAAACGTACGGATAAGAATGTAATAAACATAAATAGGCATTTAACCGTGTAAATACAACTATAAGTCAGCTTTATAAAAAGATCCGTTGTTATCGAAAATGTAAAAAACCACTGATCGACTGACATAGATTTTGGTAACCAGAGTATTTTCGAAGTTGATAGTTTTAGATCAATGGTGTGAATGGAATTACATGAAGATTATAATTACGATTCCTTATGTTGAATTTACAACAAACTTAAGTGATCATAACGTTTAATAAATAGCAGTGGAAAACTTGAAAAAAAATAAGCGTACCGAATACCAAACTTGTCTTTTGGTACGGCTTGAACAACCCAATTACCATCTGATGGTAGTATGACAAAGAGAATTTGAGGGGGAAACTTTGGTATAGGACGATAACTTGTTTGACGGAGTGGTTCCGGATAAACGACTGTTTCCATACGTTCTTCACGCTCTAAGTCAAATAGATGGCTCTTCCATGGACAGGATCTATCTAGTACTATGATAGTTCTCGATGAATCTACATCTCCACGAACATTCATTGCTTTAGCTACAATATTTCGCGCAGGCCACCAGCAATTAGTAAAGTAGTCCACAGTATCAAGAAATTCACGACTGACTAAGTTGATTGCTCTTTGGAATGCAGTCTAACAAAGAAACAGGCAGGAAGCTCAGGATTAATACATACAAAGTTACGGTTGGTGAACATAAATTTGCTATGAAAGATTAGTCCTCACAACTTGTAGATGTGATAAGAATGGCATAGAATATGCAATGATAAATACAAACCCATGTAAGCATATTACGTCAACCATTAGGTTTTAAAAACTCATTCAAGTGTCTAACTGAATATTTACAAGCAACCATAACAAAAATAGAGATATGATTGGAGGAACTGTGAACAGTCCATTAAAATCTTAGTACTAAGAAAGTTTCTTGTGAATTACAAACAAATTGTTCAAAGGCCACTAACAACTAATTTTATGATGGAAATGGACTCACGAAGTGACATTTACAGATAATCTCGTGATGGTACAATGACAAAGAAACCTCGGATACAATTAGGATAGATAATCCAGATCACCAGATCAAACAACCGGTGTTTTAGTTTTTGTATGGATACAGAAGTGTCAAAGAGTAATTTGGTGTAACAAGGAATACGTGAGATTGTGTGAACGACTTAAAACTATGGTGAGAGCATTGCATACAAACTTATGTTATATGGTTTGATGGGCCATATCAGTTAATTTTCTCTACCGCGCAACCACTCATTTAATTTTATAAGCTTAGTTGCGTTAATTATCAGAGTTGAGAATAACGTGCTGAAGATGCTAAACCCCGCTACATCCAATAGGTCTGTTTTATGGCTGACGAAATTCAAGCTAAGCATTTATGTTTATTTATTTATTTGAACACATAAATATTGGTACAAAGGAGCAACGAATACATATGCGCCACACAAGTCACTTGATTTGCGTGTGGGTTATGATACTACCGGGTTGTCCAAACCGAAGTAGGTGGTTTTCTTAAGGGGCCACACACGGAGCTTTTTGACTCAAAAGTCTGATCCACAAGGCAGTTGAGCAACGTAAGGAGATGCAGTCCCATGGTAGCCGGCGACCAACGATTGGTTCATACGCCATTTGTTTCATCGAGATACTGGATCCCATGTGCACCATTGGTTTGGAATCAGGGTTTTCAAAGTCTCCTAGGTGAACTCTCAGTGTCCACCAACCCGGTTAAAGTGCCGGACATTCGCTTTTCATCCTTTCAATTCCGCGAACAACACCTTCACCACGAGAAGGCAGTGAGTGGGACTTCCCTGGGAGTAGCTGTATATGCGTGTCCATGTGAGAGCATTTCGAGAGGAAGAGCTGACTCTGCTCACCCTCAGCCATATCAGGACATTTGGTGGCAGCATTCATGAGAATCGCAGTAATGTCACTGAGTGGTCACACATTGAATAGCTCTACAAAAATTCATGTGTATTCCACGAAGCAACATTTCATGACTATATTTATGAAGTTAATCACTGAATCTTTTCTTTGAGGACAACGGAGCTATGACTCGCAGTCTGAGAAAAAAAGAATCACTGGGTGTTCAGAGAATCCATGTAGCATTACACAGAATAACTGTGACAATCCATGGTATTTTCGTCTTTATTAATTTCAAATGTTTGAACGAAGTTATCACACTTGAAAACCTTAAAACTTAAATGAAAACATGGCTTATTAAATTGGGTGTTAGTTTAGTGTAGCTTCATGGAACCAACATCAAGGCATGAAACTTATTATCAATAAAGTTATGCCACCTGTTCGCGGTTTTTTGTATGCCTTCGATCGAAAGAATGGTGAAACGAAAAAATTATTCAAAAATGTAGTGTTTTCACTACTTTTAAAATCTATAAGAGGGACACGGTTATGAAACTATATTTAGTCTAATCATTTGTGAAACCAGATTTGACCTAGAGACTGAACTCTTGTATTTGCAAATATAGACAATTTGTTTACTATTAAGACTTATAAATGGTATCTCATTTAAGGTCAGGTCACCTTAAACCCATAAAATTCTTAGGTGATTGGCAAGCGGGTTTCTAATATGTTCAGAACCAGGCGCTTACTAAGAATCTAGAATCAAAAACGTACTTCTGATTCCTCTGATTCGTTATTCCACCAAGGATTAAGTCGTCGAACTCTGCAATATAAACTAGTGCTTATATTGTACCTGAACGGTAAAATATAGAGAACACTCACTTCAATGGAGTTTTAGACTGTGGAATACCGTTGTCTTGCCCATCAATTTCTAAAATGAACGATTCATATATCTTTATCGAGTTATAATATTTATTAGTGTACTTTCATGTATATCTTTTCTAGTACTTCGTGTCCAATTTCAAGGCCAGTCAGAAGAGAGAGTACTCTTTTGCCAAAATGTACGTAGACCAGTCCAGCGCTGCTTAGTTTAACATCCCACATCTTCACGCCGAAATATTGCGACCATGTTAACGAGAAATCCCTAGACCAAGGATAAAGAAGCCTTAGTCTACTTACTTCTGATGGTGATCAAAACGAAGTGTTTCAGGGTCATAAACACCACCAACGTCAACGACCACATCGCAAGTAGACAGTATGTCTGGATCGCGAGATCGCACTATGGTAGCATTTTTGTATTCAGGAAGATATTTGAGTAGGACAACTGCTAGCACTTCGTCACAGTGGAAGCAACCGTTGTGAGTCCCAATTCGTTTTTCACTTGTCATTATAGAGCCCATCGTTGAAGAAGTCTGTCGCTAAAATATACTCCCGTGATCATTCGTACGGACTAGGAGTCGTCTTGGCACCAACCAATGAGGGGTCAGTGACAAGGTCATATAGTGAACTTTAAAGGCCACATCTAAGATAGCAAGTCCAAATAATTTTGAGTGTGGTCTTGAAATACTGTTGGAGTGAGAGAGATTTTCCATCACTTTAATCCTGCATCTGTGTGACCTAAAGCCAATTTGGTTTGCCAAAAGAAGTGAATATTCCTCTTTCTGTGTTATGTGCTTATCGTTGTCTTAATCACATTGAAAGCCTAATTTTAAACGCTTATTGAAAGTTTTTAGAAGATTTTATTTTTTGGACAACACCAAATGTTTTTATTGGTCCGATCACCATTGGTTAAGGTTCGTTGCTGTATACGGTACACATCTCGTATCTTGTGTGCCTTCAGTTATTATAGATTGTAGGGAGAGTGAAATGTCACTGAGCCCTAGTCAAATCATCCGGCAGTTGGATCACTGAATGTCGAACAGATCATCGCTCCCTGCCAAGGTCATGTACAAGCAACGCGCATTAGTTTAATCATACGCCATGGACTGGCCCATGCGGCAGTGGTCTTACTTTCGCTTGTATCTACCTTAACTAATATATTTCTGTAATAACGTCCTTTGTGTTGTACAGTCTTCAAAGCATCTATAGTACCTTGTTACGTCAATGGGGGTAGTCCACGTAAGGTGCTGACCACGAGGTGTGACTTCGACGTTAGTTGGTTCGTCACACTATTCACGTCTAACTCGAGTCGGCCTCCAATCATTTCGACATAGATCATCTACGTTGGTGGTCTACACTGGTGAGCAAGACTTCGAATAACGCAACCTATCACTATAATCTTTATTATTGTATTCTATACTTATTCTTTTTCAGTTTTATCATCGCCTATGTTAATCTGTTACTGTGAACTTTCGTTGCTTCATGTCAATGTTGATTAGCATTTAAACCTAGATAATTCGTTCAATCGACATAACTAACCAATCAACTACGATTATAATCGGCTATCGTGGTTCTTTAACAAGCATTAGCAGCATGTAAATGCTCTTGTGTAATATGTCTGTTAAAATATCAACCACTCGTGAGTATAGCCACAAGGCAACACGAACGCATATCTCTTTGTACCTTATACACTGGTATAAATAAGACAAGATTAACTATCGACTATAAATTCATCTTTCTGCTTAACCACTATCCACTAGAATGTTCTGCTTTTTTTACCACTGCCTGCCTAATTTCCAATTGCTGAGTTCCATGGCCAAACAGAGGATACGAATGCTAGAAATTCACGGTGAGTTTGAACTATAAATTTCCTGCGATCTTAGACCTCGTTTAGACTGTTCGTCAGTCTACAACGCTGTGTTAATCGAAAAATTTAATCAACAATACCTCGTACATAATCCAGATTCAAACTACTGCCTACTTCATTACTTAAAGGCAAAAGTAACCCAGGCGAGTTTCATAATTTCATTAGATTATTGCGTACTATATTTATGATGCGTGATAACATTTCGTAGTTGCTTTCACGTAAACTAGTCATATATTCTGTCACTGCCGTCAAGTTTTAGTCGAAATCATGTACATTTATGACTCGTTAGTTGACATACTGTGGTAAAACATATTGCATGTACACGAGCACGCTTGGTCCATGTCCCAAGTACACATGTTGTCGTACTTAATATGTCACTTAATGCTAGGTAATAAGCTCTTTGTATCATCCTTTTACGAAATGGCCACGTTACCTGGACCCTCTAAACCTTAGTTACATTGGTGGTTACCATTTTAATTGATGTTTATTATATCCCTTGTATTTGCTAATAATTCACACGGTAAATCATGGCTCGATTTCCTTATTACACAACAGTCATTTTAATTCTACTTTCGGTTTATTTACATGCAATACGGGTTTGGAAAATATCTAAACGTCCTCGAAAATTCTCCACGAACCCAACCATAGTTTTCGTATATGTTTTTATTCACACATCCAACTGTTACGCTAATCATACCTAAGCGAACGTTCAGTGCAACTGTCAGTATACGTAAGAACGATGTTATTTAGACTTGACATTGTAACACATCTGAACTATTGTAGTTGTTCTACTTCGATGTCGTACTTCATTTTATGAAGTATTGTTTCCTCGTGGCTGTTGTTTAACAGATGATTCCGGTACATCATTCGACTGTTCAACTACTCGACGATCTACAACCTGTCCAGTTCAATTGGTGGTCTGACGACAATATCATTCGCGCGAATCATCAGTTTATGCAGTCGAGCGAATCTCCTGCAAACTGAAAACGATATTGTCGCCTCTATCCCAACACTGACAGCGTTTTTCACGGGTATCATTGACATGAGTCCAGAGTGACACTCTTGGTTTCTTATGTTCTTTTCGATATTTTTCTGTTCACTAACCGAACAAACACGCAGCATTCACCGTTTATCATCTTTTAGAGACTTCATCGTGCCACCTTTTCTGTGGATTTGTAGCCTTCAACCCTTACTGACTGTAACAGCAGTCATCGACTTTTCAAACTGTGACTACAAGTTGGTCAATAGCTTCGCACAACGAAATCACGACCACTCTTCACTGTTATACTTCTGTACTTACGGTTAGTCTGTTAGATATAGATATAACTAGAATTTGACACTAATTAATAGCTGTCAACGACACTGTTCGACTTACAACTTTAAACTAATGACAGTACAAATATGGATATCGATTGATAATACACTTATCCTACTATCGCTATAACATCATTACTCTTGCGGCAGACTTAACGTTTGTCATCGGAGGAACTGAATTACTTGTCAACGCTACATATTTCAGCGCGACTTGATAGAACAATAAAACGTTTTGTTCTTTTCATTATTTCTATGGTTAATCGCTTTACGTTTAACCAACGTCCTACTAACATATTATGACTCGCTGTTTCCCGACCAGTTTCTGCCGCCTCCTTTCCATTTCTTTTATAGATAAGCAATACCTGGAGGATTTATAATATTCGTTTGGCACTCTCTGGCGCGCGACTGCTCCCAACATGTTTGGTACCGATCCAAACGGCCGTTGAATCTGGTGGGGGAGTATTGTAGGGCCAGTGAAATGTCACTGAGCCCTAGTCAAATCATCCGGCAGTTGGATCACTGAATGTCGAACAGATCATCGCTCCCTGCCAAGGTCATGTACAAGCAACGCGCATTAGTTTAATCATACGCCATGGACTGGCCCATGCGGCAGTGGTCTTACTTTCGCTTGTATCTACCTTAACTAATATATTTCTGTAATAACGTCCTTTGTGTTGTACAGTCTTCAAAGCATCTATAGTACCTTGTTACGTCAATGGGGGTAGTCCACGTAAGGTGCTGACCACGAGGTGTGACTTCGACGTTAGTTGGTTCGTCACACTATTCACGTCTAACTCGAGTCGGCCTCCAATCATTTCGACATAGATCATCTACCTTGGTGATCTACAAGATAAAGCTTGACTTTCTTCTTTACTTCTGTGAATAAACATACATTTATTTACATGTTTGTGGACGGAATGGAAGAAGCCTCTTCTTAAGGAGTTCACGCTCCTTGTATCAATCAGTTTCCGATACCTCTACATGAAGATTTTGATATATGAAACAAAAGGTAATAATATTCGATCATTAATCTCACTTAAAATGACTACATACTTTTATAGGAATGACACTTTTGACAAGTTTAAGTCAGTACGGCATATATATTCAAGTGTGTTATACGATGATATCCTACTATAAAAAAGTGAATTACATATATCAAGAGAATCCCTTTGTCTTGATCAGATAATACTCTGTTGTATTACAGTTGGCTGAGTTGTCTACAGAATGTTTAAGGCTCTGTTCACATTGGATGTTTCTATGTCTGATGGTCTTCACTACCCGGTTTACCTTTCTTCTGTCTCACTCATTAACTTACAATCCGACTATTTTACTACATGTGTTTCATGCTAATTTGGTGTTTGAAACACTTTATGCAATACAGGTTTCAAAAAGTTTATGAACTATTCTTAGTGTTTTTCATTAACGTCACTATGATCTTTCTATTCATTTATTTTTATCTACTGACTCTGCAGATGCAATAATCGTCTGAACGAATGCCTATCATGGCGGCACATTACTCTCAGACATTTCAACCGGCCGACATCAACTTTACTGACGACAGTTTCATCTGCAATTCCACAGGGCTTTCCGGATTAGACCTAAGCGCTGACTTGGTGTTCCGGAAATTGCAGCACTTAAGACTAGATACCTCTCCTGGCCCGGATATAGTCCATTCTGCCATACTGAGGGAAGCAGCCGCAATCCTGGCAACGCCGCTCAGCGTGATGATCTCACACTCGCTAAGCCGAGGCAAACTACCGGAAAATTGGAAGTTGGCTCACATCACACCAATTTTCAAAGGAGGTCGACGCAATGAACCTTCAAGTTATCGGCCGGTGGCTCTTCTCTCTATACCTTCAAAAATCATGTATTCCCCGATATGCGATGGTATACATGACTATTTACTGTCCTTAATTTTCTTCTCGCCCTAACAGCGTGGTTTCAGGAAGGGTTACTCTTGTAATCACAATTGATTGATCACTGGGTGGTGATCAATCTCATGCTTGTCTAGTCCTTAATAGTGCAGATCGAATGCTATCGATCATGTTGCAATGTGGCCACCAGTCTAGGTGACTCGACACTGCGGGCACTATGTATTGAGATTAGATGGTGGTTGGAGGTAGTCAACAGGAAACCCTGGACCCGGGTTTCGTGCTACTTGGCACTCGTCAGCAAGGTGTACCTGTAATCTTGAGGGAACTGGTGCTCCCTGGCGGATTCGATCTCGTGTCACCCAGCTTCACAGTCAGAGACGTTACCACTGAGCTATCCGAGCCGTGACTAACCTCCTGTAGGACTGAGATGTAATCACAATTGATTGATCACTGGGTGGTCTAATCT